AAGATATATTATGATATATAAATATATAGATATATAGATACATATATATATGTTGGGATATATATTTAGTATTCTAAATAGATGTACACTTATATACATACATACATACATATTTATATATATATATATATATATATATATATATATATATATATACATGTATATATATATATATATATATATATATATATAGGCATCTATATTTATAGCTATTTTCCACTTTTGTTTTGTTTACAAACATGTTCATTTTCATATTTTATTTAGAATTACGTCCATAATCTTACTTTTTTACAGTTCTTGGTGCTGGTTCTTTATGACAATTGAGTCATGATTAAACAATTTGTGTTTCTGATTGTACTTGCATGCTCGGGTACGCTGTTCTTATCACTGCCTGTACAAATATGAGTCTTCCTTGGTGTAGTTGACTGCATTCAGCTTTTTCTATAAAAAAAATGTATTACTAATTGTTGTGTGCGGCTGTGTTTATTTGTATTGTTCTTGAGGTGGCAGTTACCTTTAAAGCCACACTGCAACAGTTTGATGTGTAGTTGAATGACAAATGAAGCCTGCAATACACCTTGGACTGTACGTTATTCTATGTCCTTCACAGTGAGGCGTGTGATGCTCTCTCTTTGGCCACTCTCTTGCAACAACTTAACAGAATGAACCCTTGGGATATAAATAAAGTGGCGACCGCCAGAACAATCATTTGCGGAAAGGACATAGACTCCCGCTGTGAATAATATCTTAAACCCTAAAACCCTAAATGACACATGGTATTAAATTGCTAGGGCGGGTGCTCGGAAATTGTCGAATGAGTTCCGACCCTATTGCATTCATATAGTGCATCGGGCGCTTAGGCTGTAGCATCGCTCGGTAACCATCGCAACCATATCATTACTTGTATACTCTGTAACCGTATCAACCATAGCATTACTTTGTATAGGGACAGATGGACATCAAAAACTAAATATAGTTCGCATAGGGGGCCCTCGAGGCTTTAGACGGTACAGCATTCGCAAACACAAACTCAGCCGATTCAATCACAATTCGTGCTTTCATATGGAGACACCAAGGCGGCGCTCAGTGTGACTACTAGCAAAGCCTTCAGAAGCGTTTGACTTGCATAGGAGCAAGCCTTCCAGCCTCAACCATCATAACTTGTCACACCATCTGAGCGATACGATACCGAGCACTTCAGATGTAGCAGAGTGCATGGCTTATGATGTGCACAGTGATTGGCTTATGGTGTGCACAGTGATTGGCTTGTAGTGTGCACAGTGATTGGCTTATGGTGTGCACAGTGCTTGGCTTATGATGTACACAGTGATTGGCTTATGATGTGCACAGTGATTGGCCTATGATGTGCACAGTGATTGGCCTATGATGTGCACAGTGATTGGCCTATGATGTGCACAGTGATTGACTTATGATGTGCACAGTGATTGGCTTATGATGTGCACAGTGATTGGCTTATGATGTGCACAGTGATTGGCTAATGATGTGCACAGTGATTGGCTAATGATGTGGAGGTCTTCCAAGTAGCCGACCCAGCTGCATAGCTCACGGATGAGTCACTCCTCGTCTCAACTTTGCTTGACTGCGAGTACGCAAGGAACTTCACCCGCACCTCCACAGGGTCTGAGCTTCTCTCTAGCGCCGACACAGCCTGTCATTAAAAAAGAAATAAATTACTCTCCATAGTGAAATCAAGCTAAAACGTTTCTCCGCGCCAATATTAAGAATATATTGTTTCAGATATGCGCGTTACGTACATAGTGCACTATTCCGTTTTAACGCGTGGGGATAAATAGTGCGCCGTGTCAGTGTCAGTGTGGCAGAAGAAACACACAACTTACATGCAGCATGACTTGCAGCGGATAGCGGCCACAGATAGTATTGCCTGTTCGGTGCAGGTAGTCTTCGAATCCTTGGGTGTCCTTGTGCTCTATCAGTGTCATTCCCAATCTGTCTGTGGCCTCGATGCTCAGGTGTATTTCCGCGTACTTTTTATCCACCGGGCGGTGGTCAAAGTGTGCGCCCCTGTTTGCGCATGTATAGTTCGAGTATCCAAAATTCAACAAAAAAAATTATGTCTGCACCCGTAATTGAACAAAAAAGGGCTCATGTGCACCTTTAGTTCGCAATCCAGCAGCATTGAACCTGGCGTCCTGCCCAGCGGGCGTACTTGTCATGTGTGCTCTTCATGTGTCAGTGGAGATTGTTTAAACATTCTCACAATGCGAGTGCTCAGCTATCGCACCAGTGCTTTTCAGTAAAGGGTTGCGCACAGATAAGAACGCAACGAGAGCTACCTACCAGTGAACGCAATGAGAGCTACCTATCAGTGAACGCAATGAAAGCTATCTGACAGTGAACGCAATGAGAGCTACCTACCAGTAAACGCAATGAGAGCTACCTACCAGTGAACGCAATGAGAGCTACCTACCAGTGAACGCAATGAGAGCTACCTATCAGTGAACGCAATGAGAGCTATCTGACAGTGAACGCAATGAGAGCTACCTACCAGTAAACGCAATGAGAGCCAGTGACCAGTGAATACGATGAGAGCTACCTACCAATGGCAGAAATCAGTCGAGACAATGCATACTGTCGCGGGGTCTGTCAGATACGTTGCCAGCAGTTGGCCATAGTGGGATGCTTGCGTTGGGTCTATTTGCCCCACCAGCACAGGTATCACTGTGTATTGTTGGCTGCGCGCACAGCGAGAAAGGCGTAAGGCGATTTAGTCAAAACACCCACAATCATTCAAAGATGTAGGTAGACAATCATTTAAAGATGTAGGTAGGCAATCCTTTACAGATGTAGGTAGACAATCCTTTACAGATGTAGGTAGACAATCATTTTACAGACGTAAGCAGACAATCATTTATGATGTAGGTAGACAATTATTTAAAGATGTAGGTAGGGTTTTGAGATTAGCTTTATGCAGGGTATTTACGACAAAGACTAACTTCCGGATTTCTTTGGCTCCTGACAGTGGCACGTGGTGTTGGGTCACACTGTATTGCATGTGGCGCACTGAGTGGACTACGTGGAAAGCCTGGAGGCTTCAATTGATCATCAAAAAAAGAATTGACCATCCGTCATTCTCATGAGATCTGCAATGGCGTGCTACTTTAGGAGCTCACGTCTAAAGGCAACACCTATGAAACCCTAAAAACTCTAAACCACTAAACACTCTCCTTTCTAAATCCAAAGCTATATACCTACGTTGATTTCGCACTCAGTAATACAAAGTAGATCCATTTATTATTTATTTGGGAACACCCAATATTCTACAGAGATTCGGCTCATTGGTCCTAACCCGATTTTCCAAATTAAATATCAACAACTTGACAAGTGAAAAAGCAGCGGTATCACACGTGGAAGCTCACCCTTTCATTATCTTCTGCAGATACGGCAGTTGCATCTCAATGCTGTGCTCCACCTCGTCTACTTTTTGGGACATCACTTTGAAGTCGCCTGACGCCCTCAACTCCTGCAGCACTGCAATGGAAGGTCATGCGGAGTGTGCATGTAGTCTCACCTGTCAGTATGTGCTAGTGTGGCCAAGGACACGGGATTTAAATGAAAGAGTCGCTGATTGAAAGCACTACGTTGCAATGCGTTGCTACGACTACGGTCATGTTCAATCATACAGAGGTGAGTGCGCCGACACCAGAGCACACAACAAGCATCTCGATCCCAGAATCGCCACATACGACCCAAACGATTTAAATCTGTCAGGAAATCACAATCCATACAATGAACAACTCATCAAATTACTTCCATTTAGAGAAGTTAACAAACACATGAACGACAAGCAATCGAAAAGATATGTGAGAAGTGCTCGTGCGAACAGCACACAACTCAAGAAAGTGTCTAACCTCTACCAAACACAACACAGCCGATGAGATGGCTGAGTCTAAAAATAGCACACAACAGAGCAGACGAGATGGCTGAGTCTAAAATAGCATACAACAGAGCAGACGAGATGGCTGAGTCTAAAAATAGCGCACAACAGAGCAGTCGAGATGGCTGAGTCTAAGAATAGCACACAGCACAGCAGTCGAGATGGCTGAGTCTAAAAATAGCACACAGCAGAGCAGACGAGATAGCTGAGTCTAAAAATAGCACACAGCAGAGCAGACGAGATAGCTGAGTCTAAAAATAGCACACAACAGAGCAGACGTGATGGCTGAGTCTAAAGGTACCTTCGGTGTCCAGAGTTATGTTGCCCAAAGGAGTGGCGTATTCCTCAAACACAGGCAGGGCGCAGCAGTCAAAGTACGCACGATGCGATGGCCCCAGGATAAACACGCGCTTGCTGCATGGAACAAACAGCCAGCACACGCCACACAACTGGTAATTAGCCATCCACGCGAGGCGGCTCTATTCTGAAGCAATGCAAGACACTGCAGTGCGCAATATACGATGCACATTCAAACATGGAGCATACTACGCACATTCAAAAAACCACGCAATTATAATATAATACACACGTGCAATACAATATACTACACATATATAATATACTACAAAAATTCAATACACTTCGCTTACATAATATACTACGCACACTAATATAAAACACGTGTAATACAATATACCACACATCTATAATATACTACACACATTCAATTCACTACGCTTATATAATATACTACGCACATTCAAAAAACCACGCAATTATAATATTATACACACATGCAATACAATACGCACATACAATATACTACACATCTATAATAAACTACACACATTCAATACACAACGCTTATACAATATACTACGCACATTCGATATTCTACGCCCATTCAATATACTGCAGATATACAACATACGACACACATGGAACATACAAAACACACAACCACATACGTTGTGCTGGGATCGATCTGTGCGTAAGCGTATGCGGCGGTATCTCCACAGTACGTGTAACCTGCATGAGGGGCAATGATGATTCGCGCAGGAGTGTGATGTTCCGCCACGGCATCCAGCCACGCACTCAGCTGCGAGTTCAACTCGCGCGCTACGGAGAGACCCACAGAGTGACATGTGAGTGTTATGGTGCAGTGGGCTATGACACACAGAGTTAGACCTTGACACTACGGCTGGAGGTAGACTGGGAATATCACGCAAACCAAACAAATGCGCTCAATTTCCTGGGCTAGTGGATACACATAACTGCATGATTGTATATATGTATTGACATATACGCACATGTATATATTGACTAATACTTGTATGCATGAACGGATTGAAATATGTATGTATATTAAGCTACAAGGGTTCTCTGTATATACTGTATGCGTTAGTTAATATTCTTCCAAGTGAATACAAGATACAGCCTACTACGAGCTTAAACCCCGTCATACGGAGATCACGCCGATTTAGGATTTGCGTAGGTAGTCAAAGTTAGCTGGCCAAGTAGACTACAACACGTATAGCATAGACTTTAGCACGGATATCAATAGAATTAAACACATGTAGCAATAGACTTAAACACATATAGCAATAGACTTCAACACATATAGCAACATACATAAAGATGTAGCAATAGACTTAAACAGTCGCACAGACTTAAACACATGTAGCATACACTTCAGCACGTATAGCAAAAGACTTATACGCATGAGAGTGGTAATCACACATGAACCATGAAGGGTGGTAATCACACATAAACCATGAAGGGTGGTAATCGCATATGAACAATGAAGAGCGTACCGTCTTTGCTGTACCATGAGCCAGCATGTGTGGCCCTTCTCGTGCCATCGTCTGCCATCGTTTCTCTGTCTCAATCAGTAAAGTATGAGTTGTCGACTTGTGGTGAGTATTTTATGTAAATATTTTAAAATACTACATGTTCGTCGTACGTTCGGCCTACTATTTATATATTCTTATATATTTTCTCTACTCTCTCTATAGAGAGAGTAGAAGCTAGAGAGAGAGAGCTGACACAGAGAGAGAGAGGGTCATGATGAAATATAATACGAGACATTTGTAGTTTTACATTCAGTAAAGCATTTTTATATTGATTCTTTTGAAACAAAAAGCAAAAAATAAAAGAAGGAACATATTGTTTAAAATTTAGAAGGCTAAGAACATATGGTGTAAAAAATAATTTTGAAAGGGGAAGCTTTTGTCCCTTCCGACATTATTTATCGCCGATTTTTTGTCCGTCGCCAAAAAACGCCCGTGACGGTTTTAAAAAATCCGATTCTTTGAATATGTCGGGTCGGGAGCGAGCGAAGCGAGCGACTTTTGATTATTTAAAATTCAAGAGGGGAAAAGGGGAAGAAAAAAGGGTCTTTCGGAAGGCGTAGTTCAAATACCTTAAATCCTAAACCCTATAGACCCTTTTTCAAAACACTTGCCATCCTCTCATATCTGTAAACCCATAAATTGAAATGTAAACACAAGATTCACTTGTGCTTTTAGCACGATCCATCTTGATACTTTTAAAGAATGCCCTCTCACGCCTTAGAATATTTACCTTCATCGCCGTCGCTAAAGATGCACATCAATTAATACTAAGACTTCCATACGTGAACTTACAATTGTTAGTTGGAGAAGATCAATATAAAACTATAAAAACTAATACTAATACTATAAATATATATATATATATATATATTTATATATATCTATCTATATATATGAATATATATGTACAAATATATGTGTTATATATATATATATATACATATACACACTCACACACACAATACATACATTTAAGTATATATATATATATATATATATATATATTATTATTATTCGAGTCACCACAC